CTCTTCCCTCCCCTAGCGTTCTCTCGCTGTCTCTTTTCTTGGCTCTTTCTTCCTATCTTCCCCCTCCCCTCCTTACATTTTGTCTGTTGCTTTCTCTTTTTTTTCGCTCTGCCTTCATCCCTTTCTTTCTCTCCTCCTCCATTCGTTTTTCTTTCTTCGCCCCTACCACATATCTCCAGCCTCTCTCTCTTTCCCTTTCTTTCTCTCTCTCTCTCTCTCTCTCTCTCTCTCTCTCTCTCTCTCTCTCTCTCTCTCTCTCTCTCTCTCACTCACTCACTCAAAACAATAGCCACATAATGTTGCACGTAGAGACAGTCTACAGTATCTCACAGGCCTTAAACTGTAGCGTTGATACACTTATTGTGACCGGTGCCAAACTAAGCCTGTCACACGGTGATGTCTAAGACACCACTGAACCTAAAGCAGCAGCTTACTGCAGACATCAGCCATACATGCTTCAGATTGTTTGCGATGACAAGTGGCCGTGTTGTTGTTGTTGTTTTTGTTGGCTATCCATTATGTTACAGGAATATATATAACTCTCCGATTTCGTGTTTGTCAGAAATTAAGAGCAGAATAGGCCAGGCATTTCACAGAATAAAGAACATCGTGTGCAACAGGTCCCTGCCTTTGGATGTCCGAAAGAGACTACTACAGTTTTATGTAGAACCTATATTGATATGTGGTAGTGAATCATGGAGTGCAAATTCATGAATTAGACAGAACTTGGATGCGACGGAGATGCGATTTCTCGGATGATTGTTCAGGAAGTAGATCAATATATACACCTGCAAGGAAAATACAAGCGCTGTTCTGTGGTCATGTGATGAGAGGGGAGGCTTGGGAGAATATTGTGACCACTGGGAAGATGAACAGTAGAAGATGGAGAGGCAGACCGAGAGAGCTGATGACGGGGCAGAACTTCTTCCGAGAGAGACTGCCAACGCCACACGGCATGGAGGATAAGAGTGTCAGAGTTGGATGACTACCAACGGTGGATTACCACGGTGGACTAAACAACGCCACTCATTCCAGAGGTGTTTATTAGAAATGACTGCCAACGCCACACGGCATGGAGGATAATCTGTGTCAGAGTTGATTGAATATACACGAGACAGAAGGTTGTGGATAAACATGACTACCAACGCCACACGGCGTAGACTTTAAGAAGAAGAAGGGCGCTTTTTATAATCTGTTTCTTTGTCGGGCCGACTCAGCATGTGGTCTTAGTATGACTTACTTCAACATTTTCCGTTGACTTCTTGTGGTCCTTTGTGGTTTTGGTAGTTTAACTTGACGTGTCTTCTAACAGCAGTGTTGATTTTGTACTGTATGAAGCCAGATTAGATCCTGTGCTTTTGTATTTTTATTATTATTATTGCTGCATATTCTAGGGTTATCGTTTATTTAGTTGAGTTGTTACAAAGGCTTAATTATTAATTTTAAATAGTCTGTTTTTCTTGTCAGACTTAATTCATAAATCTTTTATGTAGTTGGAGTAGTTAACAACCTTGGTGTTTTAAATAAAAACTAGTTAGTTAAAACTTCGCCCAGCGATTGTAGCAGGGTTGTATTTGTCTACCCACAACCCCCCCCCCCCCCCCTCCACCCCATTTTCTCAGGATTGCAGTCTGTAGATTAAGATCTCACTGATTGGGAATCAAATAGCTACAATCTAAGGTATGGATTAAGAACACTTGCTCCCGTGGTTCGAATCCTTATTCCGGGTTTGGTATCTGAACAACCCCTAGTGCCTGGCCTGTCTAGCTCCATATAAAAAAAAGTCAGTTACGTTCACCCTGTTGCTAGCAGCGAAGCTGTCAGGAGCATTAGGTTATATTTATGGTCTGGTTTGAATGAATGAATCAAGAATTGACATCACTGTACTTGGGACATTTCCACACGTGCTCCGTCTCCCTTCTTCAGTAACCAACGAAGAGTTGAGATGCTAATAGTACCAGTTGCAACCTGTTTAAAAGTCTGCCTCTGTTTTCCCCAGAACATCCACACACCCCCGTTAAGTTAGTCGTTCAGTGTATGGATTCCCAATCGGTTGTTTTGCACTGTTCGTTTGTTCGTCATCACTATATTGGACTGGTTTTTTTGTGCCAAGTGTATTGGCTGAGATAGCTGTGTGTGTGTTTGCCAGATTGATGGCTTTGTGAGCGACTGTCCTAGCAGCCATGTGGCTTTGAATCCTCAGGCTGGAAACTTTCGTCCTCCCCGCGTGGGCTCCAAAGCCCCATTGTGGGGAAAGCAAGAATAGACCCACTGCCTCCCCAACAAACATGTGGTAGGAGTCGACTAACTGGGGCCTTTCTTCGAAGTCGGAGTGCATCTGCCTGAGCGGCAAGGAGCAGCTGACTGAACACACACGCATAAGCCAAGTAAAACGGATGTACACGCATAACTCAGGCCCTGGCACAAAGTCTCACGTCCAAATGTACGAGCAACCAGGAATTTCATTTAGAGATTACAGCTGATGAACACAGAATAAGAAAAACCCGCTATACCACCTAAAGAAAATATTACGTACAGACAGTAATGAAAGTCGGTATATTTGGGTTTTTCCTTTATTTGTGTTCAGATCAGAGCTGTCAGTCTACAATGTCAGTTATGCCAGTGTGATCGTATTCTCAAATTGATAACCACTCAATGTTCTCCTTTTTTCTCTCCTTATTTATTGTTGTGGCTATGTTTAGCCACTCCCGCGCCCCTTTTAGTGTTGTGTCTCATGTATGTTGTCAGTCTGGGTCCCCCCCCCCCCTCCCTGTCCCTATTGACTGATCTTGGGGAAATTGATTCGTTTAATGTTTTGGGTAAAGCAAGATTATTTCATTTGATGGATTGTGTTTCTGTAATTCCACCACATCTGAATTTTTTTTTTTTTAAGAAGGTTTGATATATCTTTGATGTGGCTCGTTTTTCCTCAATTTAATTACTTCTTGCTGTGCTTTTCCCAACATGTCTTACTAGTATATGTAGCAAAGTTTCAATAGCAACTAATTTTTTTATCTGTTTAGTTGTAAGTTCACTGGTAATTTATACTGCAGATATCGTAGTGGGCAAGCTGTAAACCACAATACAGCGTGCAAACTGTCCCTTTAACGGTGAGCGAAGAAAAAGAAGAAGCTAAATCAACTATGTGTTTTGTTTAATACTTTAATAGTAATAGATTGCCAAGGGATTTTTGTCAACAAATTCAAAGTATCAAATACCATATGTTCTTTCATTTTAATTACACTGGTTGTTTACTGTGTGGTTATTATCAACTATAACAATCGTGTGCAATATATTGTTGTTTGATAGTTGTAATCTCTTTATATTTGGCTTAACAATTCTAGCTTGTCATCTGTAATGGGTTTCCTCCCTGTGATAAACAGTTTGTATAAATTCCTGTGTATATCAGTTTTTTTTTTTCAACCTAGTTATAGCAGTGTATTTGTATAGCTAGTTCACGTTTCCCACATTTATTATGTTTGATTCTCGCTTGTCTGTAACACGTTTTCAGATTGACTTTTAATATTAGGTTTCATAGGAAACATCAAAGTGGCGAAATAATCATGATGAAAAATCACGAGTGCTTTACTTTCAAAGCGGCAATATACTTACTTAGTTGACGGAAGCCAGATTTCTCTAGCATGTTTAGCCAAGTGGCATAAGTATGTTAGCGCATTATACTATGGGAGGGGGAAATCAAGGGGTAAATTCATTCACATATAAGGCGGTGTGTGTTTTTTTTTTCTGAAAGAGTGAAACTTACACATTTGTTTTAAAACATAGTTATACCTTTAGAGGAGTTTTACAAACATGTTTTTGATTATAGTTTGTGAGTTCAAGATGCAGCATGAGTTGTTTTATGGTGGTTGTTGGTGTAACTAATAGCGCAGGGCTTTCACCCGATGACCAGGGTTTGAATTCTCAATAAGGTCATTGGTTTTTTTTGTTTTTTTTTTTGTCGAAGGGGGAGAAAAATAGAATCCTGATCTGCACTAACGTGGAGGCCGTAAATCTTGAAGGCTCAAAGACCTCACTGCCTCCACCGCAGAAGGGGCGAATACAGGCATTAGTGGTGCTTTTTTTATGGGAGTGACTTTTTTAGAACATCAGTTTGCAAATATTTCTCAACAACTTGGTTTGAACTGTACTAGAATAAATATTGATGATCGGGTAGAACACCGATGGTGAGATCAAAACCTAATAAGATCAAAATTGAAGATAAGATAGAAAATGTTTAAATATTTTGAAGACTGAAACTGGTATTCTCAGTTAGAAACAAGTATTTAGCAATTAGAAACTGGTATTTAGCAGTTAGAAACTGGTGTTTAGCAGTCAAAAGCTGGTATTAAGCAGATAGAAACTGATGTTTACAAGATAGAAACAGGTCATTCGCAGATAGAAAAATGTTTCGCTGATATACACGGGTATTTAGAAGATAGTAACGCGTCTTTAACAGTTTGAAACTGATGTTTAGTGGTTATAAATTGGTGTTTAGAAGATAGAAACTGGTGTTTGGTGGATATAAATTAATGTTTAGAAGATAAACTGATGTTTAGTGGATATAAATTAGTGTTTAGAAGATAGAAGTTGGTGTCTAGTGGATATAAGTTAGTGTTTAGAAGATAGAAACTGGTGTCTAGAGGATATAAATTAGTGTTTAGAAGATAGAAACTGATGTTTAGTGGATATAAATTAGTGTTTAGAAGATAGAAACTGATGTTTAGTGGATATAAATTATTGTTTAGAAGATAGAAGCTGGTGTCTAGTGGATATAAACTGGTGTTTGGAAGATAGAAACTGATGTTTAGCAGTTGATAACCGATGATAAGTGAACAAACACTTTTCACGAGGAAAGCACACCAGCTGAATGGGTGGGGGAGGGAGCGAATCAGGCTCTCAGGATGCTTTTTTTTTTCAAGGAATCGTTGTAGCTGCCTGTGCTAAGTATTGTGTAGTATGTGGTGGTCAGCGTTTGACTAGCGTCCTTTTTCTGTCTACAGGCTGACCCCAAGGCTACAGTAGAACAAGAAATCAGCAGAATCGAGCCTGGGGGTTACTTTGGAGGTGAGTCTCAAGTCCGTACACATTTCTGGCGCTCTGCTTTCTTCCCTTGTGCTCTGTAAAACACATCCCTGGCCTAGACGTGTGTCTTTAAAACTCTTTGGATCCCAAGCAACCACTTGTCTATGGGAGATTATCCTTAGATTTCCCTTCATGTTCACGTTGTGTTCTCTTGGTTACAACTGGAAGCGAGAAAACAGTATCATATACTAAAATGAATGAGACATTCAGAGATTGGCAGTTAACAGAGAGGCAGAAACTGCACACAAGAGAGTTAAATGGTCGTAGACAATGAGGCAGACCATGAGGAAGCTGTATTAGAGGGTCGACACAACTTGAGGAAACTGTATTAAAGGGTCGCCACAACATGAGGAAACTGTATTAAAGGGTCCCCACAACATGAGGAAACTGTATTAAAGGGTCCCCACAACATGAGGAAACTGTATTAAAGGGTCCCCACAACATGAGGAAACTGTATTAAAGGGTCCCCACAACATGAGGAAACTGTATAAAAGGATCGCCACAACACGAGGAAACTGTATTAAAGGGTCGCCACAGCATGAGGAAACTGTATAAAAGGGTCGCCACAACACGAGGAAGCTGAATAAAAGTGTCACCACAATATCAGAAAACTGTAATAAATGGTCGCCACAATATCAGAAAACTATTAAATGGTCGCCACAATATCAGGAAACTATTAAATGGTCGCCACAATATCAGAAAACTATTAAATGGTCGCCACAATATCAAAAAAACTTTTAAATGGTCGCCACAATATCAGAAAACTATTAAATGGTCGCCACAATATCAGAAAACTATTAAATTGTCGCCACAATATCAGGAAACTGTATTAAATGGTCGCCACAATATCAGGAAACTATTGAATGGTCGCCACAATATCAGGAAACTATTAAATGGTCGCCACAATATCAGAAAACTGTATTAAATGGTCGCCACAATATCAGGAAACTATTAAATGGTCGCCACAATATCAGAAAACTGTATTAAATGGTCGCCACAATATCAGGAAACTATTAAATGGTCGCCACAATATCAGGAAACTGTATAAAAGGGTCGCCACAACACGAGGAAGCTGAATAAAAGTGTCACCACAATATCAGAAAACTGTATTAAATGGTCGCCACAATATCAGGAAACTGTATTAAATGGTCGCCACAATATCAGAAAACTATTAAATGGTCGCCACAATATCAGAAAACTGTATTAAATAGTCGCCACAATATCAGGAAACTATTAAATGGTCGCCACAATATCAGGAAACTGTATAAAAGGGTCGCCACAACATGAGGAAGCTGAATAAAAGTGTCACCACAATATCAGAAAACTGTATAAAAGGGTCGCCACAACACAAGGAAGCTGAATAAAAGTGTCACTACAATATCAGAAAACTGTATTAAATGGTCGCCACAATATCAGGAAACTGTATTAAATGGTCGCCACAATATCAGAAAACTGACTTAAATGGTCGCCACAATATCAGGAAACTATTAAACGGTTGCCACAATATCAGGAAACTGTATAAAAGTGTCGCCACAACACGAGGAAGCTGAATAAAAGTGTCACCACAATATCAGAAAACTGTATAAAATGGTCGCCACAACACGAGGAAGCTGAATAAAAGTGTCACCACAATATCGGAAAACTGTATTAAATGGTCGCCACAATATCAGAAAACTGTATTAAATGGTCGCCACAATATCAGAAAACTATATTAAATGGTCGCCACAATATCAGAAAACTGTATTAAATGGTCGCCACAATATCAGAAAACTGTATTAAATGGTTGCCACAATATCAGAAAACTGTATTAAATGGTCGCACGATATCAGAAAACTGTATTAAATGGTCGCCACAACATGAGGAAGCTGTATTAAAGGGTCGCCACAACATGAGGAAACTGTATTAAAGGGTCCCCACAGCATGAAGAAACTGTATAAAAGGGTCGCCACAACACGAGGAAACTGTATTAAAGGGTTGCCACAGCATGAGGAAACTGTATAAAAGGGTCGCCACAACACGAGGAAGCTGAATAAAAGTGTCACCACAATATCAGAAAACTGTATTAAATGGTCGCCACAATATCAGAAAACTATTAAATGGTCGCCACAATATCAGAAAACTATTAAATGGTCGCCACAATATCAGAAAACTATTAAATGGTCGCCACAATATCAGAAAACTATTAAATGGTCGCCACAATATCAGGAAACTATTAAATGGTCGCCACAATATCAGGAAACTGTATTAAATGGTCGCCACAATATCAGGAAACTATTATATGGTCGCCACAATATCAGAAAACGGTTTTAAATGGTCGCCACAATTTCAGGAAACTATTAAATGGTCGCCACAATATCAGGAAACTGTATAAAAGGGTCACCACAAAACGAGGAAGCTGAATAAAAGTGTCACCACAATATCAGAAAACTGTATAAAAGGGTCGCCACAACACGAGGAAGCTGAATAAAAGTGTCACCACAATATCAGAAAACTATTAAATGGTCGCCACAATATCAGGAAACTGTATTAAATGGTAGCCACAATATCAGAAAACTATTAAATGGTCGCCACAATATCAGAAAACTATTAAATGGTCGCCACAATATCAGAAAACTGTATTAAATGGTCGCCACAATATCAGGAAACTATTAAATGGTCGCCACAATATCAGGAAACTGTATAAAAGGGTCGCCACAAAATGAGGAAGCTGAATAAAAGTGTCACCACAATATCAGAAAACTGTATAAAAGGGTCGCCACAACACGAGGAAGCTGAATAAAAGTGTCACCACAATATCAGAAAACTGTATAAAAGGGTCGCCACAACACGAGGAAGCTGAATAAAAGTGTCACCACAATATCAGAAAACTATATTAAATGGTCGCCACAATATCAGGAAACTGTATTAAATGGTCGCCACAATATCAGAAAACTGTATTAAATGGTCGCCACAACATGAGGAAGCTGTATTAAAGGGTCGCCACAACATGAGCAAGCTGTATTAAAGGGTCACCACAATATGAGGAAACTGTATTAAAGGGTCCCCACAACATAAGGAAACTGTATTAAAGGGTCGCCACAACATAAAGAAACTGTATTAAAGGGTCCCCACAACATGAGGAAGCTGTATTAAAGGGTCCCCACAACATGAGGAAACTATTAAAGGGTCCCCACAACATGAGGAAACTGTATTGAAGGGTCGCGGCTTTGGGAAGGTTGAAAGCCACGGTAGTAGACAGTTCAAATAGATTGGATAGGTCAAGTTGGTCACCAGCTTGCAGTTTATCTTTGATATAGCAGTTTATAACATTAATGCCTGACCTGGCTGTACTCAGGAAGAAAAGCGATGGGATAATGTCTCCTTGGTGTGCTGGCTGGTTGCTAGGGTTTTTTCTGTCTGTTTATATCGTTTATTCAGCTTCCAAAGATAATCTGGCCAAGTCAATGTCTACTACAGGCTAACATGGTCCAACAAGAGATGATGACATTTGTCAAGATCAGAATCGAAGTCTACTACCATCCACACTCTTTACCTTTTAGTCCCATTTCAGTACACACGCGATACACGCAGTGGTTGATTCAAGGCTGTTTAAGACTCCTTGGCTGGTTAGATATTATGGGCTTCAATTTCTGGATAGGCTGTCATCAAGTTGTCATCTGGCTGTTCTCTCATGGAATAGTATCTTCTTCACGTCTTCAGTTACACAATGTCACATTCACTCTTCCCTCAAATACGACCTTTAACGCCAGTGGCCAAACACATACTCCCTGACAAGCTCTTTGTCTCATCCTATAACTCTCTCCCTGGACTTCACCTGCTGGCTTGAGCACTGTTTGTATATCTCATGTTTTTACGAGTATTGAGTATCCACACCCTCGTGTATTTGTCTCTTATCTCATGTGTACAAATGTATCATCGAGTAGGGGATCCCTGTGGGAAAATACCAACATTACAACTGACCACTGACCTCATAAAAGTTAAAGCAACACTGAAGACCTGTCCGGACACAGCTCCAGGGCCTGATGGCATTAGATACAGCCACTTCAAAAGCCTCGAGGCCTCAGATATTGATGAACTGTCCACGATTTTTAACAACACCATGAAAACTGGCACTATTCCTGATGACTGGCTCCACAGCTACCTCAGACCGGTTCCTAAGCCAGGAAAAGACCACACGAGAATAAATGGCTACAGAATCATCACACTCCAGAACACTGTAGGAAAACTCATGGAAAAAAATCGTTGCCAGAACGTTAACCCAAATATTGGAGTCGGGTGGCCATTTCCCCGCTACACTAGGTGGCTACCGACCAGGAAGAGATACATGGTGCAATGCTGCTGTATTTGCCTACGACACATACGAAGGTTTCCAGGAGGGAATTGAAACGGCTGCAGCCGCTATTGACTTAGAAGATGCGTACAACAGCGTCCCATACAACATGCTCATCAGACTGCTGTTGGATATGCAGATAGAAACAAATTTGGTCAACTGGATCGCAGCAGCGCTATTTGAAAGAACAGTGTCGCTTCGATGTGGTGAATGGGCATCCGAACCTCAAAGCGTCCTAATGGGTCTGCCCCAGGGATCACCATTGTCGCCTGTGCTCTTCAATGTGTACACAGCAGGAGTCACTAGTGCACAACGCGTAGGCCTAGGCAGAACAATGTCGTATGCAGATGATATCCTTGTGTACCGTCGAGGTAAAAACAGGCAGGAAATTACAACCACACTACAACACGAACTAGACAGACTTAGTGAGTGGTGCCAGGAATCAAGAGCTCATGTGAACCCGTCCAAAGCCTCCTTAACATGGTTCTCTCTGAATACCCACATCGTGAGTACACCAACGCCAGTCGTAAGCATCTGTGGTGTGGACATCGAGAGAACGGGACACCATGAAATACCTGGGCATGACATTTGACAGATGCTTGTCATACAAATGCCACGTAGACAACGTCATACTTAGAGCCAGGAAAGGTTTGACAGCACTCAAGGTGCTAGCAGCAGCTGATATTGAACAACGTCTACTTTTCCTTCTCTATCAAGGGCTTGTGCTTAGCGTCATTGACTATGGTCTCGGCCTCCTCACTGTCAGCAAAACCCAGCTAGAAAGACTGGACCGAGTACAGAATGAGGCCATGAGACTCATACTCGGCTGCACAAAAAGACACCTCCTGCAACGCCATGCGTTATATCCTGGGTCTGCCGACTATGACAAGCAGATACAAAGTGGCACAGGTCAAGGCTTACATGAGGGTATCGGCAGATGTTAACCACCCATTACACAAAGCTATTCACGACACAAAAGGAACGCGTCTCAAAAGGGGCCGCTCTTGGATGGCAAAGGCTGAGGACTTAATCCAGCAGGTATGTGACCTAGACGTGATCAGCCACGGAAAAGAATGGACGAATACACCAGTAGACATGCATGGCATTTCTAAGGTTGTCATCACACTCGGAAGGTACTGCAGGGATCAAATTCCCGCGGCGGTAGACACAGAAGTAAGGGAACTGATAGATCAGCATTCAGACCCAGAAGATACCATCATCTACACAGATGGATCTGTGAAGCGCGGATCAAGGTCAGCATGGGCATACACAGCGCAAAGAAAGGGGAAAACAATACATGAGGACAGCGGCGCTTACCAGACAACCACGTCAAGCATGACAATGGAAATAGCCGCTGCTTCTAGAGCTTTAGCATGGGTATCCGAGCAAACCGCCACACAGATAGTAATTGTCTCGGACTCAATGAATATGCTTCAGAAGATAGCAACAGGCAGTATTCCGGTCAAAATGGACGCTAGGTACGGCCACCAATGTTTTTTTTTTTTTTTTTTTTTTTTTTAAAAGCCGTGGCAAATATTTTTCCAGACGGTGGCCGTTGCATTTTTGCTCCATTTGTAGACTGGAAGGATGTAGTTTCGTCGCCCAGCTTCTGAGTTGAGTGCATGGCGTGACACTGTGAGCTGCGTTTGTTTTTCGTTGGCACAGGAGCGGAGCATGTGTGGGGTGACCCGTTTGCTATGAAGCTGAAACTTGGATTACCAGATTACCAGATTACCAGATTAAACATGTGAAATTAATTGAGTTGTTTACACTAGTGCTTGTTGTGTGATGCTATGAACTAAACATGTTTATAACATATTGTTGATTTGTTTTGTCTACAGAGTTAGCCTTAGTAACTAGGAAACCACGCGCTGCCTCCGTCTATGCTGTAGGCGAGACCAAAGTTGCAGGTAACTGCTTATTTTCTCTCAGTGTTTGTCTGTCTGTTTTAATGTCTGTCTGCCATCTTCTCCTTCTCCTGTCTATTTGCATTAATTCATTTCTGCTATCTTCTTCTTTTTATGGATGTCTGTCTTAATGTCTGTGTGCCTACCATCTTCTCCTTCTCATGTCTGTCTTCACATTTGTCATTCTGCCATCTTCTCCTTCTCATGTTGGTTCTCACTTTTGTCATTCTGCCATCTCCTTCTCCTGTCTGTATGCGTTAATTAATTTCTGCCATATTCTCCTTTTTATGGATGTCTGTCTTCACTTTTGTCATTCTGCCATCTTCTCCTTCTCATTTCTGTCTTCACCTTTGTCGTTCTACCATCTTCACTTTTTTCATTCTGCCATCTTCTCCTTCTCATTTCTGTCTTCACCTTCGTCATTCTATCATCTTCACTTTTGTCATTCTGCCATCTTCTCCTTCTCACATCTGTCTTCACTTCTCCTTTTTATGGATGTCTGTCTTCACTTTTGTCATTCTGCCATCTTCTCCTTCTCATGTATGTATTCATTTTTGTCATTCTGCCATCTTCTCCATCTCATGTTTGTCTTTACTTTTGTCATTCTACCATCTTCTCCTTCTCATGTCTGTCTTCACTTTTGTCATTCTGCCATTTTCTCCTTCTCACTTCTGTCTTCACTTTTGTCATCCTACCATCTTCTCCTTCTCATTTCTGTCTTCACCTTTGTCATTCTGCCATCTTCTCCTTCTCACATGTGTCTTCACTTTTGTCATTCTGCCATCTTCTCCGTCTCATATCTGTCTTCATTTTTGTCATTCTGCCATCTTCTCCTTCTCATATGTCTTCATTTTTGTCATTCTGCCATCTTCTCCTTCTCATATCTGTCTTCATTTTTGTCATTCTGCCATCTTCTCCTTCTCATATCTGTCTTCATTTTTGTCATTCTGCCATCATCTTCTCTCGTGACCTTTTTTCTTTAGGGAAGAGTGTCTGTCACACTTGGCCGCTTTCCTCTAGCTCAGAGAGAGGCCTGCTATCTTGATTTCAACATTTATAAAGTAATAGAAAATGTGTTGATCGGCACTTATAGAAAGAAGTAGAAAGATAGAAGAACACACTAGACAACATAAAAATCAAAGCTATAGTAACCGTGCCGCAATCGAACCTGTCACCTCCAGACAGGGTGTGCGCTTCGCTATGGAAACAAGTGCACTAAGAACATGGTCAACTAGGCACCCCCAAAAAAAGGTGTCTTATTGGCAATGTCTATCGTACAGCTTCAAATCCACAACTATGGAATACGGACAAAATTCATTTCAAACCTTTGAAATGTCACCATAAGTTACATAAATTTATATTAACGAAGCATATGTCGAATAACAAGCACAGCAACAATTTACGAACACAGTAGACCTTAATGCTTTGTCTAGAATACACAAACATTTAAGAAAGGTATTTCATTGGTAGGTTATGTTGTGTATACGTCATTTCCATAAATAAACAGAGATAATATGACTACTGCTTCTCTTTCCATCTCACCCTTCAACAGTTCTAGATGTTCAGGCATTTGAGCGACTGATGGGTCCCTGCATGGACATCATGAAGCGGAACATCGACAACTACGAGTCGCAGCTGATCGAGATCTTTGGTAACAAAGCCAACATTTCTGACCTGCGGTGAAAATCGGCCTTCACTTAGCTTATTAAACAATCTTCAAGCAAAGGATAACTAGAATATATCTATATATTATTATCATTATGTATATATGTTTTATCTATACAGAATTTTTTTAATGGACAAATGTCGTCTTTTTTTTCCTAATTTGATGACATAGGGAGGTAAGCATGGTTGTTTCTGGTGTAACTGATTTTACAGCTGATCTCCCTTTACAAATTACAGAAAGTGTGTTGGTAGGGTTTTTACCTCTGATGACAGTTGATCATTTTTTTTTTTTTTAAATGCTGGCACTACCTGGTTTACTGCCTCAATATCAGCGACTGGGTCGCCGGTAGACGACTTCATTGCCGGTCAGGAAAGAATTCAGGTCTGTCTCTCTTGTTGATTCGAATCAGCACACTGCAGGAGTCCTTTCCAGGGCTGATCGTGGTGTGCAGTGCTAAGCCATTTAATATGGCGCACTTAACCTAGTCACAGTTATAACCTTAGGCTCCCCATTGGGGATGCCGGTTGAACGTGACAGTTATTTTTTTTTTCAGCATAGCATCAGATCAGTTTACTGCCAGCATGTGCGCAGTGTTGTAGCAGAATACTAGATTGCCTTGCCAGCATGTGGGTATTGTGTGTGTGGCAGAGTACCTGGTTGTCTGCCTGTGTGTGTTGTAGCAGAATACTAGATTGCCTTGCCAGCATGTGGGTATTGTGTGTGTGGCAGAGTACCTGGTTGTCTGCCTGTGTGTGTTGTAGCAGAATACTAGATTGCCTTGCCAGCATGTGGGTATTGTGTGTGTGGCAGAGTACCTGGTTGTCTGCCTGTGTGTGTTGTAGCAGAATACTAGATTGCCTTGCCAGCATGTGGGTATTGTGTGTGTGGCAGAGTACTAGATTGCCTTGCCAGCATGTGGGTATTGTGTGTGTGGCAGAGTACCTGGTTGTCTGCCTGTGTGTGTAGTAGTCATGTGTTCAGTAGACCAGGTCATCATTAAAAAAAAGTAAAGAACCCTTTCCACGCCTTCAGGCGTGTTGGGCATATAGGGCTAGACTATTTTGTAGACCAGTCGGCACTTGGTGGGTGATGTGTTGAACGTCATGCCGGCCGCCGCTGTTTCCCAGGACTAGGATCCACTCAAGACTGGGAGTTACGGTCATCTCTGGAGAAAGCCTGGTTCCATCAGGACCCGAACACATGACCTTCCGATTCGCAGGCGAGCGTCTAGCCGCTACATTGCGGTGACTAGGTCATTATGACAGTGTCATTTATGTCAGCCTGCTGTCATGTGATCCTCTGTGTCTTGTCGTTTTCTTTTTAATTTTAATTGCAAAATTTTTTTTTGTGTGCAAATTTTTTCAATTTATTTATCATGGAAATGTGTCTTTGTTTGTTATCTGCATTTGTCTTTTGTGTGTGAATATTATTTGCGTTGACTGATGACAGCATTGCTGCAGCATTTGCACTTTTCTTTGGCTGACACCAGCAGCTTGTTGACCAGAAAGCCTTCCTAAGTATACATGTAATTTACATTGGCAGGGGAGAAAGTGAGTTTCAGGTGGTTCAGCAAACTACAGACACTGAACGACAAACCTACGATCTGTTTCACTGGTCTGCTCAGTTACCAGTCATGCTTAGCCCAGTGACGGCTAGTATTGATCGGCAGGGACAAGTCACCTTTCTGGATCGGTAGGGACAGGTTCTTACTCTGGACCAGCAGGGACAAATCACTTTTCTGGACCACCATGGACAGGTCACCATTCTGAATCACCAAGAACAGGTGACCATTCTGGATCACCAAGGACAGGTCACCATTTTGAATCACCAAGAACAGGTCACCATTCTGGATCACCATTGACAAATCACAACTCAGGACCACCAGGGACATAATCACCATTTTGGACAGGCAGAGACAGGTCCCTACACTTGACCAGCAGGGACAAAGCAAGTCTCCATTCTTGCTTCAAGATTAAGCATAAGAGACTGTGTACCAACCGCATAGACATGATCTGTCTGGTTCATCGCCGTGCTTGTATGAAGAGGCAAACTGATGAACATATTCTCAGAAACCTACTGTGCCTTCGGCCCAACACTAAATGCCAGCCTGTAGAACCAAAGATGAAATCCCACATACAGACAAGATTTGTATTACTTACTTAATGATGTAATCATCAGATACAACGATCACACACAGAAGGACACTAGGTCACCCATTGACACCTTGTCCCATTTGTCTTTTTAAACTGCTGTCATTTTGTCTGTTTTGCTGTTAATTAAGAGAACACATTGATCACCGGTCCCATCTACAATTTGTTTTAGAAAGTCACATTTTGCAGCATTGATGACCATACGCTTTACTGACCAGTTGAGCCTTGTTGTTTTAATTGACTGTTAGTCTCTTCATGTTATTATCATTTGCCTTTCCCTTTATTTTTTCAGCTGTATGTTTTTCTTTAAATATGTGTACAGTCTATGGCAGGTGTATGTTTGGGCACTCATTGGTGCTATTTAGATTACATCAGAATTATTAGACACGCAAGACCAAGAGAAAACTACAAATCTTTTCACACAGTGAGTTTGGTAAAATCAAGGACCATTTTCCATGCCGTTACGGATATTGTGTATGTACGGCTAGACCTATATATTATAGACCAATTGAGACTTGATCACACTGCTGCCTTTGCTTCCCAAGACTATGCGTGGTACCCACTCGAGGCTGGATGGACCTGGGAGCAGATGTAAATTTTTTTTTTTTTTAAGTTCGGCTCCATCAGAATTCGAACCCATGACCATCCGATCTGCACCCGAGCTTCTAGCCGCTGCACCATGGCGTCCCTAATAAGATTTGTAGGTTTGTGCAAATAATACATCCACTTCTAATGTAAGTAATTAAGAGAACCACACACTTTTAACTCCTTCAGTCCCAAAGAACGCACGATGTGTTACTGACTATTCCCCACATGTCTCAAACATCACATCAAGTGTCTTGTAATATTTAAGTTTAGGTCTGCGTATACTAAATAAATCTGGCATCCGCAGTTGTATCTTATATTCATTGCTTTTTGTTATCACGCAGCAAGCGGTTAGAGTTTTTATAGCAGCAAATACTGCGGGGGAAAAAAGAAAACAAATTACAATTTTTTGGTACTAATCCTTATGGAACTGAAATTGTTAACAGGCTAGTATTCTTCTTCGATAAGTAAAGCAGAGACATGCCAGTGTTAAAAGCAGTAGATGTAGAGCTTGCCTATATACTCTCGCCAAAATTATAAATAATTTCACAAAGTAAACACTATCAGTTGGTAACTGGGTTTAAGGTTGAGTGTGTCAGGGGGTCAGCATTGCAAACACGCCTTGTAATTCTGAAATACTATGCCCGACTACTTCTATCAACGACAAACTGCATTTCTGGTGGCAAATGTTGGCTTTGGCACTTCTAGCAACCGCTGTATGCATTTACTACATGTGCAAATTTCTGGATTGTGCCGGGACTAATTGTTTGTTAACCAGTTTTTCAAATGTGACAGTGAGGGACATTTCATTTGATTTTCTCTGGCACAGGAACGGAGCAAGTATAGGGTGACCCGACTGCAGTGAAGTTGAAACCTCGACTAAGACAAAGTGGTGTCAAGAGCTGACTGTTCAGTGGCAGTGGCAAACTACTGAATGTAACATAGCCCAGTGAAATCAGCAACAGCCAAACAATCCTGAGGTTGGTTCTGCAACGTCCTGTAAAGGATATATAACTAACACTTTTTACAACAAGGAAAGCTTGATAGTTGGAGTTAAGGCCCAAATGGTTGCCTGTGAGTCGAGAACGGGAAAAAATAGACATTTTCTGTTAGTTTCAGATACTTCACAGACAGCCCTGCCATTTGTTGTGTGGTTTCACTCAACAGTTTACCTTCACTAGTTTGCCATTGCTTCTCAATGGTACCATGCTTATACCACTGTTACAGTCAACACAAATATGCTGCTACCAAATCAGGTGTGGCTAACTTTGAATCCTGGTATGTTGATATTGTAAGACTGTTATACCTCAAACTGCTTCACATAAAATGTTTGTATACAGTCCAACTGAGAGTCTGTGTGTGACAGGGATTAGAAGTGTTAGCAGCTCACGATCACGTAACTCACACGCCATAGTGTGTTTCTCTGGCTTGTCTGATAGATCAGCTAGAGGTGTTATTTCACTGCACATGACTTGCTTGTCTAAGAGATCTGTGTTTTTACATTCAATTCACTGTTTTCATTGACTCATTTGTGACATTTGAACCGGTTAGAAAACCAATACTGGTATTTTCACCAGGTTGTAGCTTTCATCCTTATGAGTGCAGTTATGGAAGGTGGTTTGTACCAAATGTTATAATTCCTTGCCTGTTTTATATGAGATTATGGAAGCCTGTTTGCGCTTTATTGACAATTTTTCTACTTAACCAAAGTGGTCTTTCTTTAACAGCTTTGATTACTAATACAGTTTGTAAACCAGTTGCCTATACTCAAGTTTGATATGTGTTCATGGGACATGGTGATATTGTAGGGAGTTGTGTACATGGGGCATGATGATGATATGATGATGTTGCATGGAGTTGTGTATATGGGACATGGTGATGTTATATGGAGTTGTGTATATGGGACGTGATGATATTACAGAGAATTGTGTAGATGGGACATGATGATATTCTAGAGAGTTGTGTACATGGGACATGATGATGTTATGGAGAGTTGTGTACATGGCACATGATAATGTTATGGAGAGTTGTGTACATGGAACGTGGTGATGTTGTAGGGAGTTGTGTATATAGGACATGATGATGTTCTAGAGAGTTGTGTACATGGGGCATGATGATGTTATATAGAGTTGTGTACATGGGCCATGATGATGTTATATGGAGTTGTGTACATGGGCCATGATGATGTTATATGGAGTTGTGTACATGGGGCATGATGATGTTATATGGAGTTGGGTACATGGGTCATGATGATGTTATAGAGAGTTGTGTACATTTGACAT